GCTAGGTGCTGAGCACCATCTCTTCCTTCTCCAGTCAGAGCTGCAAGCATACAGCACGTGTAAGCATTTGGCAAGTTGCAGCATTGGACCCTTAATCTGTTTCCAAGGTGCTAAAAATGTACATCCAAATTGTTTTACAAGAAAAGGAAGGATAGGGATTAATTCAGGCTAAGTAGCACTTGCAAGGAATTTTTTAACATGTATACCTTGAAATCAGTTTACAAAGGAAGAAATCGTGGGACTCTGAGCTGTAAATCATCATATTTTATCTGAGCACTCTTGGAATTGTAACCCAAAACGTTAAATAACACTGTACCAGAGTGAAAGAAATAGGCTTTAAGAAAATGATCTCAGGACCAAATGCTGTGGTTCACCAGATTTCAGTGAGCAACCTTCAGCAAATTCCTCTTTTGAAGTAATGCATTTGAACATATTCCAGCAAAAGGGGACACAGGCTAGGAATAATCATAGGGCAAAAACCACCACAATGTCTGAATGGCTCAGCAAAATATCCTGGTTGTTAGTATGAAAGGTGTATGATAAAAGCTCCAGAAGAAATAGGGAGGTTATTGTAAACAGGTATATAATCATCCCATCGGCAGACTGCAATTAGTGACCTCTTAGACATGTAAGATCATTTCTATGGGAAACATCGAAATCAGATTGTAACAGAAAGACAATTTTATTAAAAGGCAAATTGGCAATTGGCTAGCTAGTTAAATCTTTTCTAGCTAACAAATGTAGTAAAATATCAGAGATGAAAAGACAGCCAGCAAAGGATGCTCTGTAAATGAATTTACAGTATGAGGCAAATCTTTTAGAATCAGTGTTATTCATCTCAATGTGTCTGGAATAGTAGCTGATTTTTGCTTTCTTTAGCAAGAGGCTGTATTGAGAGGATTGCTGGCAGTGCATGCATTGGACTCTCAAAGCTATAGCTTCCATCTCTTCTCCACAGTATCGCTTTTGGATTTTCCAGACTTTTAACCTGATTTTAGCCATATAGATATGGGAGAAAGAGAACAACTGACACAGATTAGGTATTAAGAGTAGATAGAAGGCTTGATGAAACAGAATTATGATGGCATACCTTCCAGCCCTATGACAGTGCATTATTAGAAATGATGCATTCAAATGTAGGATTTTTTTAAAAAATGTTTTGCTATTGGGAATCATTGGCACGTCAGTGCTTCTATTCCTGGTTGTGTGTAGCGGGGTCAACTAGTGGGTGTGGCGCCTCCAGCTGGTCTTCTCAGGAATTAGCTCTTCAGTATGAGAGCCTTCTGCTGGCTGATGTCTCACCCTCAGGCTACGTCTAGACTACAAGCCTCTTTCAAAAGAGGCTTTTTCCAAAAAGAGCGTCTAGAGTACAATCAGTACTTTCAAAAAAGCAAGCCGCTTTTTCGAAAGAGAGCACCCAGGCAGGCTGGATGCTCTCTTTTGAAAAAGCACAGTTTGCATTACATAGCACCTTTTTTCGAAAGAGCACTTTCAAAAAAAGGAGGTTTTGCGTGGTTGAAAAAACTGTCACGTTCTTTCGATTTACTTTCAAAAGAATGTGGAAGTAGTCTAGATGCAGGGGAAGTTTTTTCAAAAAAAGGCCACTTTAAAAAAAACCACACCCTGTAGTCTAGACATACTCTCAGTTACCAATCTTCTTCTGCATTCGTTTAGCTCCCCTGTCCCTTCCTGCCCACGGTGCCCTTTCCTCGCTGTACTGCCCCGTGGCAGTGCCTCCATATGCTCGGGTCCTCCCCTCCCAGGAATCCCAATTCTTTATACCCACCTTGCCTCAGTGACCCTATGTCCTCATTGTCCTCCACCCCGACTCAGGGGCAAACTGCCGTCTGAAATGGCCACTCATCATTGGCAAGGGGGTGTGGACCTGCTGCCTGTTCCTGCCCTGGCTGCCTCCTTGCAGCTCTCATATTCTCCAGCCTTGCCTCAGGCCCTGAAGCCTGGGAATTGGGTCAGGCCAGAGCTTCCTCAGCTCGGCCTGCCTTTCCCCAGCTCTGCTCTGTGTCAGGTACTCTCTGTAGCTTCCCAGGCAGCCAGGTCTCTTCTTCTCCACAGCTGGAGTGAGAGTGTGTGCTCCCCTCAGCCCTTGCAGCCTTTTATAGGGCCTAGCCTGGTCCTATTTGGCTGATTTGCCCTGCCTTAACTGGCCAGGGTTGTGCAAGCCTCCTCTGACTTACTTGTAACCCTCTCATGGCTGAAGTGGGCTACAGCACCACTATACACTGGCACTAACCGGCTGTGTCACCTTGACCAAGTCACTTCCCCTTTCTCTTGCTTCCCCATGTGTAAAATGGGAATGACACCTCCCTTTGTAAAGTGCTTTGCAGTCTATGGGTGAAGTGTACTATATAAGGACTAACGCCTGGCCTACTCTACAAAATTAGGTCATCTTAACTGTTGCTCATGGAAAAATACACACCCTGTGAGCGGCTTAGTTCAGCCAAACTAAGTCCCTACATAGACAGTTCAGGGTTGATTAAAAATGTCTGCTGACCAAGATACCACTTCTCGGGGAGGTGGATTACCTGCACCAAAAGGAGAAACCTTACTGTTGGCATTGGTAGTGCCTCCTCTGTAGCATGGGTGCAATGATGTAGTTGTGCTGCTGTAGCAGTTCGAGTGTGGTAGACAAACCCAAAGTATTGTGATGTTATCACATGACACACAATTGTACAATGTTTGGGTGTTGCAGATGATGGGCTCCAAAGACGAAATCTAAGAAACTCTCCCATTCAGGTTTTTAATGACCCCTAGGTCTGCAGTTTTTGAGTTTTGTATTTTCAGAAAGGAAAAGAAAAAGAGATGAACAGATGGTGAGAAATGCATTACTAGCAAAAGAGAGAGAACTATTTCTGACAGATTATGACCAATTGTAAAATTTGTAATTTGAAGACTATACGTTTTTTGTTTGAAACATTCCTTTCCGCCCTGTCATTTTTAAAATGATACAAGTTTTCTATGCCACTCTCCATTGTGTCCCAGAATGCCAACTGACAGCTCCAGAAAGTGAAGTGCTCTGTTTACAAAACAGGTACAGAAGCCATGCACCAGTGGGGTAACTTCCAGACTTCCATTCTCACCCTCCCTATCTTTGCCAACCCAGTAAGAGCCTTAGCAGAGCACTTTACTTCTCCAAAGCACTTTGGAGCCATTAATTAATGTAAATCGACTTGTTCGTGAAGGACAGACTCTAAAATCTGGACATGAATGAGTAGTTTAGCCTCCCCAATCATTCCATTTAAGACCTCTCTGCCCGCTCTAGGGAGAATTTGCCTATTAACTGATTTCATATGCCAGACAGAACAAATGACGTGAGTAACTGAGGCTCCAGTATTGAAGCATCTGAAGTCACTGAAGCAACCACATTCCTGGGCAAAGTTAGACAATAGGAGGAAGTACATATTTACCTGTAAATAACTCAGGTAATTTACTACCTTTTTGGCTACATGTGGCTGGTACCTGACCTTCTAGAGAGCTTTAGTAGAATTGGCTCCTCTGCCCAGCAGTCAGAATGGTGTCTGGTCAAAAAGAACTCAAGAGCATGAGATGATGCAGTCTACAGGGTTAAACAGCAAAGTGACAACTGGATTCTTGTGTTCTAATCCCAAATCTGACATGTCTTTCTTCTGTGATGTGTTAAATCACTCAAATTCTCAGCCCTAATAACCCCATCTGTAAAATGGGGGTAATAATGCTCCTTTATAAACATCAGATGTGTGCAGTCGAGTATCATTAGGAAATGTTGCTATATAAATGTCTATGTTTCCCAACTTGCACACACAATCCTCTTGTGGTAGGGGGCCCAGCAGCCCCACACCCTTAATTTATTTGGAAAACTGACCTTTGAAAATCTTTTCTAGATGTTGGTAACCATGCTGGGCTCTACTTCTCCTGCAGTGGGAGGCTGGTGATGATTTGCCCGTGGCCCTCAGACCTTGTTACATAAAATGAGTGGGGAAAGTGTGAATACCATCTAACTGGCCTTTTAAAAAAACAACCTTATATCATCTTCCTTGGGATAGATACGCAGCTTAGCTCCACTGGCTGTCAGAGCATACCAGTTGAGGATCTGGCTCTGTGTCTCCAAGTGTTTTGTCTTCTAGACTAAACTAATCAGATCAAAGACTATCTAACTTTTTTTGGTCATGTGTTGCCCTAAGTTTACTGTTGGCACTAAACAAATAGTAAATAAATGTTAATAATCACAGGTTTCAAAGAGGCAGCCACGCTAGTCTGTTTCAGCAGAAACAACAAGGAGTCCCGTGGCACTTTAAAGCCTAACAAATATATTAGGGTATTAGAGCATGAAAGTGCCACGGGACTCCTTGTTAATAATCAGTGTCCAGGACAGGAGTTGGGTAAGTTCACAGACTCATCCAAAAATGCCTAAGCCAGTTTTGTTTTTAAGTCCATAAAAAGGACCTTGGATCACAAAGGCAGATCCTATATTACAAGACCATGCTTACTGCAGAGTTTATTATGAGGTTCTACATTTGCGCATGAAGGATGAAAGAATAAAGCAAACAATGACTCACACTGGGTAAAGGAGAAACATAAGAGCTAAAGGGCTTTGGATTAACATAAGAAGCCTATATGAAAAGGAGGAGTGAGATTTCAGATCATGAAAAGGCCAATTAAGTAAGCAAGGGAAAACATCAAGGCTGTATGTGAGAAGAAGTATAGGTTAGATATAATGCAGGTTGAAACTCTCTAATCCAGCACCCTTAGGACCTGACCAGTGCTGAACTAGAGAATTTGCTAAACCTTGGTAGGTCAACCATAGTACAGGGGCTCCCATGCTGGCCCTATGTCCCAGCCACCAAGCCAGGCCTGGGCAAAATACGGCCTGCAGGCCAGATCTGGCCCACCAAGCCACCAGAACCTGCCCTCAGGTACAGTGGGAAGCCCCGGGAAGACTCTCCTGAAGCCCTGCACGCTGCTCAGAAAAGTGGCTGTGGGGCCATTTCTCTTTAAAACTGTGAGCCCTGGGGGGAAGGCTTCAGGCATAACTCCTGTCTCCAGCACAAATCCCATTGGCCAGCTTCTGGCCAGAAACTGACCTCTGGGAGCTGCCTGTTTGAATAACAGGCAGCACATGAAGCACTATGCCCCCTGCCCCTCCTCAGTTATTCACACAAGCACATGGCTGGGCAGCCTGTGCAGGCACAGTGATGGGCAGGCAGGCAGAGAAAATTTTTAAGCTCTGCAAGCATTTAGCTCTGCAGGCAGGATGGTTGACCTGCTGGCTGGTAAGTCTCCTGGCCAAAGCCTGCCTTTGGCACTCCAGCCCATGTCTTCCCCAACCCTCTGCCCCCCACGCAACATGCCCCCTCCTCCACTCAAACCCCCTCCCAGATCTGAGACCTCAATCCACTGCTCCGGATCACAATACCCTCCTACCCTAGGTTACAAACCAAACCCCTGCACCCCAGTCCTCTGCCCTAGATCACAACCCCCTTCTGTTCTAGGTCACATTCCAAAATCCTGCACCCCAGTCCCCTGCTCTAGATCACAACTGCCTCCTTCACCCAGACCCACTCTCCCTCCTGCACCCCAATCCCTTACCCCAAGCTCCCTTCTGCACCCAACCTCCATCCCAGACCCCACGCCACCTCCATTAATACCATGGAAGAGTGCAGCCAACAACCACGTTCTAAAATCTTGGAGTAACCCACCCCTTCCCCATCAAACATTATTGCCCACTCCTGTACCAGCTCCAGCAGCCTCTCTGCTGTTGCCTGGGGTCCTGGCTGTCCCCAGCCTGGGGCAGTGAAGGGTGTGAACAGGGGTGGTGGGTAGAGCCACAGGAAACTTGGCCCTATCCACAATAAGCAGACATCTAGTTAACTAAAATCATATTGAACCATGGATGTTGCTGAACCAGAGAGTGGCAGACTAGAGAGATTCAATGTGTCGTACATTAAGTTGTTTTAAAACGGTGATTATTTAAGCATTGGCGTGATTTAAAAGTCCAGTGTTATACTTTATTGCTTCCTTCCAAATAGTTACACTGGAAGGGTACAACATATTAACAATGAAACGAGCTAATGTATTTGAAATATATTTTCCATTTTGTGATGTATTCAAAATAGCAGTTTTTTTTAATTACAAAATTATATTAATTTTCTTTGCAAAAAACCCATGGGCATGTTTTAAGTGTAAAGCTGATGGACTCTGGTAATTAGCAAGCGAGATTGAACCTGCAGCTTTAGGGGCTAAAGCCATGTGCCTCTACAACATAATATAAAAGTCAACTGGCATTTGTCTAAGGCAGTGGAGCAGACTTCACTCTCCCTTGTCAGCGGTCTCAGTGCCTCTGGGTTATATAAGGAGCAACAGGAATTAGCACTGGGTGATACCTTTTTGCCAAAATGTTGTTAGGAAAAAAATGCAAATTCAGTATCACTAAAACATTTCACAGTTTTATATTTATTTCATTGTATTGTTTGTGGCAAACATAAAAATATAAAAGAAGTGTAAATGTTTTATTGGTACTTATAAAAAGCAACATGTTTTGATTTTTTTTTTTAGGCCAAAGTAACTTTATTTTAAAGTGCCAGGTAATTGTGACTTTCCATTGTCCTGTACTGACTTTCCAGTGGTTAGGCTCACAGTTAAAGTAGGCCTGCTAGATCTCAATTATCACAAGAGTAGTAGAGGGGGTGAATGAGGAATGATGGCAAGCATACGTCATTCCTCCCAGAGCCCCAGGGATCTTAGGTGACAAAGATATTTAGCCTCAGACCTTATATTATTATTATCATTTCAACATAGTGTTCCTGGGGGGTGAGGGTGGATAGGCAGGAATCTGGTAGGGAGAGCTTACCAGGATACACAGCAAGTGCAGATGGTCTTGGTCTTCCACAGATCCCTCGGGATGCCCCAGGGTAGAGGTGGACCCATACTCTACTACCCATCAGGATGAAGTGAAGAATGTTCACAAGGGGACCCTTGTGAAGGTTCTCTCATCCAAAGGCTGTGCCCAGGGGTGTCCCCACTGCCGGGAAAGTTTGTATTATCCCCACACTGTTCTTTTTGTGGTTGTGGGGTTTATTGTATGCATGTCTTACAGCGTATTCCATTCTTTCTCCTCCGTGTGCTTGTTGTCCTTCAATTTCTTGGAAAGGGTGGGTTAAAAGCAATGAAAGGCGCTACAGGCTGATCCTGCCAGCCCCTACTCTTTTGAATAGTCATACAAGGAAAACAATGCGACTTGCGCATGGGGGAGGATTACCATGGTGGTTTTCAGGATCAGGCTGTAAGGACTCAATTCGTGCCTCTGCCTCTCTCCTCTGCTTGTATGAAGATACTCTTTTCCTCCCCCACCTTCTTTCTTCTGTGTGTCTCTTTTTGAAAGTCAAAACACTTAAAAATGCCTTTTGAGTGCTCAATTTATACCACCCCCACAATCCTCCCTCCCTGAGGCAGTCAGCAGTCTGGCTGTGGGCTTGCCTCACACAAATTCAATATGAGTTCATGATGCAGATGTGATATTGTATAGTGAACAATACCTTCCATTTCAGCTCTTCCCTAGCTCAGAGTCCTTTGTTACCACTCACTCCTTGGTAAGGTTTTTCTATGGTTCTCTTTCTGAGGGTCATTACACGTGGCAATTCCATCTTAATGGGGATATTCAAGCTTGTGATTCAGAGCAAGCTTCCCTGTTGTGCAAGCTTTGAGATTGTTAGACTGTGTGCTGGGCTCTGGAGGGTAATTTGCATCCAACTATTTGTTTTAACAGAACTGACCAATCAGGGATCTGTCCCTGCAACTTGGCATTATCATCAAGAGTGACTCGGGTAAAAGAGGTTTAATTTAAGTGACTTAGAAGATCAAATTTTATTGAAGGAAAAAAAGCAGCCAACCAAACAAAATAGATTTGTGTAGAGCCTTTTGAAGCCTCAATATTCTTCTGTGGCTGTAGATGTATATTGGGTGAGTGATCCTGGATTATGTGTGTGGGCCACTTCCAAACAATGCAGCTTGATTAAGACTTATTCTGTTCAGTTCAGCTTCTTGTACTAAATTCATCATTTTGGTATCAAAAGCCTCATGGAAAACATATACACAATTGCAAAGCAATAAAACAATGAGAGAATTACTGCAAGACACCTATAGAAATGACACAGAGAACTAGGTTTCTGTTGCAGGATTCCATATAATTCATATATAAAGAAACATAGGCTTCTGAAGGGCATCTGTATTCTTAAACTATCCATTAATATCAATGTTAAAATCTTTTCTTCATATATTTAGCTCTTAAACATGAGCCTTGGCAACCTCCATGTTAAGCAGACTCTAGCTATATCAGTTGAGAATCCTGACCAGAAGATGCACTCCTTGCTTCTATTTGACCCTGGATACTGCAGCACCAGTCAAGTTTCACACTGGCCTTTCATCTGTGAAATACCCCGTGAAGCTGCACTTTAAGTGATCTCTTGCCTTGGCCATACTACAAATGAGGAGTCTTCAGAGTAGTTAAGATATAACAAGAACTTCCACAAATTCAATTCACATGCTAATGGACTAAATCATGATGAAGGATGATTGGAGCACTATCAACTTAATAGTCGTTGAAGGTGCAAACAGCTCTTTGTGTAGACTCCTGTGTCAGGAAGGATACTATCAATTGACTTTGATTCTTATCTGCTTTGTTTTAACTACCCAATCTTCAGATACTTACTGATTCCCTCTAGCTCCCTGTCTTCCACTCCTCTTCTTCCACCCTCCCTTTTCTTGTCTACACTGCATTCCTCTTTCAAGAGAGGAATGCAAATGCAGCTGAGCGAAATTGCAAATGAAGCGCGGATTTGAATTTCCCACGCTTCATTTGCATAATCGCGTCTGGTCGCTATTTCGAAATACCCTATTTTGAAAAAAGAAACGTTGTCTAGACACGGTTATTTTGAAAGAAAACCCTTCTTTCAAAACTACCCTTGCTCCTTATAAAATGAGGTTTAAGGTTTAAGAAGGGTTTTCTTTCGAAATAACCGTGTCTAGACAACGTTTCTTTTTTCAAAATAGGGTATTTCAAAATAGCGCCCGGACGTGATTATGCAAATGAAGCGTGGGAAATTCAAATCCGTGCTTCATTTGAAGTTTCGCTCAGCTGTATTTGCATTCCTCTCTCGAAAGAGGAATGCAGTGTAGACATACCCCTACTTATTTTGGGTCTGGACATCCTAAACTCAAAACTCTGTTCATCTGAAGAAGTGGGCTGTGCCCATGAAAGTTCATGATACCATCTACATGTTTTGTTGGTCTGGTAGCACTTTATAGACTGTTTGTTGTTTTTTCCATACAGACTAACTCGGCTACCCCCTGAAGCTTCTGAACAAGAACTAAGTCAGTCCACAAATGAAAGTTGAAGGAGAAATTTAAATTTGAGTTGGAAAGCAAGTATCTCTATACCTGCCATCCAGTTCTCTGATGGATTAACATACAGGGGGCTATTGAGTGATACCGGCCATTAACTTTCTCAAGGTATTGATTTTAGACTTATATAGGTAGGCCCGGCAACACGGCAGTGATGGTGACTGGAGTCCCAGGCACCTTTGAATCATTTCTAGAGTGCTGGAGTGTTGCACTGGGTGCTCTGTGGAACTCTGAGGGCTGGGGGGAAGCCCAGTGCCATTATCTGGATGGTGTTAAGGGCTGGCTGCCCCTGGCCCTGTCCCTTCTGCCTGAGGCCCTGTCCCTTTCAAAGGCTCAGAGCCATCCCCCCACACCTTGTTCCAGGGCCCGTGTTGGCACTTGGCCATGCTCTATGTAGGACACACAAACCTTCTTAAAATCTGTGCCACAGATGGTTCCTGGGAGCAGGCTGCTGAAACAAGTCAGGAGGTGTCTACCCCAGCAAATGAATCTCCTGTCGGAGTACAATGAACGATATAGCTGGAATAAGAATCTGAGTTGGGCCCTGAGTAGAAATCAGTCAATTGTCATCACAGCACTGCATGTATCAATCTGGTACCTTCAAAAATAATTATGCTGCTTTGCCTGCTCAGACTTGTCATAGCTGCCATACAAAACATAAAAAGTTGTGTTGAACATTAAGAAAAATCAAATCTAATGTCCAGAGGAGGGGATAGCATGCGCTGAAACTGGCCTTCATTCATTATTATGTCATAGAAGAGAGAGAATGTTGAGTGGGATTCTCTGGGACAAGTCATTTATATTGGTAATTCTGTAACCGTGAAGTGATAACATGATATATAAAAGTATAACCCCTTTTAATCTCATGACACAGGTTATTTATTCCTCTATTTGATTAAACATTCTGCAGGTATATTTTTCAAAGACCAAGCTTAATACACTCCTTTATTTTGGGTTTTGTTTGTCCGCGCTGGTGTGTGGGTTTTGTTATGGTGTTGGGGGCTTTGTAAATTTTATTCCTGCTTTGAGACTTAGGGCTTCACTGTGTTTGTCATGGCATTGGCTCCTGCAGGGGGAAACAAGGAGTTTCAGTCCCAGCAGGGAACTCTAGGAAGCAGGGTGCTGAGGGGTTGCACAATTCCTCCTGCGGTTCCTGGAGCAATGCAGCCACAAAATAATACTGCTACCCACAAGGATTCAAAAGTAATTAATCCATTTTCCAAAAATTAAAATTAAAAATGAAGGGGGGAGGGGTTAAATATGAAAAGTTGGAGACACATTTTGCCTTTTGGTTTGAGCCTTTATAGCGCACGATTTCACGTTTCCTCTGAACATGAAAGATAGACATATAGGTTACTTTAGATAAAAGCTGAGCATCTCACATAGTCACAGGACTCCAAGAGCTGGGGCTTTGAGAAAAACTTGGGGTATCTTATGTGTGCCAGAACTCAGAAATAGATACACGGGCTACTTCTCTGTATGAAGAGGAGAGGACATCACGGTACACCCTGCAGAAGTTATATTTTCTGAGACACATCATCCTAAAGTTTCATTTCTTGTCTATCATGGTAGCAGCATGTTTCATTTCTTGACCTAATGGACTATGTGTCTGGAATAAAGATTCCTGGTAAGTGGGTTTCTGTTTTGTTTTGCTTTGCTGACTTGGTTAAATGGCAACTATAACTAGACACTATAAAAGACACACAAATGTATTTAGTGTCAATTTTTTGAAGAGTCTCTCAGGTGATTGACTTTTGGAATCTCAGCTGAAACACAGTAAATGCCCTAAATGAGCCCCAGGCTCCTTCAAGAAAGATGGGTTAGTAAAATATTAGAGCGGGTCAATCCTCAACCCATCAAACTTAGTGGCAAATCACCACCTGATTCAATGGAGGAAGGATTACAGCCATGCTGTGTGTGCTTGGTAGAGGGGAGGGATGAGTGAAGAGGTCACAGAGAAGGTGTGCTGAAACACAGTAAATGCCCTAAATGAGCCCCAGGCTCCTTCAAGAAAGATGGGTTAGTAAAATATTAGAGCGGGTCAATCCTCAACCCATCAAACTTAGTGGCAAATCACCACCTGATTCAATGGAGGAAGGATTACAGCCATGCTGTGTGTGCTTGGTAGAGGGGAGGGATGAGTGAAGAGGTCACAGAGAAGGTGTGCGTCA